TATACTCTTCCCACCGCTAAGGTTCGAAAATTTATCGGCTAATAAAAGTAAATTACGCCGACGACAGTTTGCATTTATATCTACGCTTTCAGATTCCTCGATATCGAGCCTCCACATCCTCCTCCTCCTCCTCCTCCTCCTCTTTCTTGCCAATCCATTATTCTGTTGCAACTTATTCCAAAATTTATCATCACATTTTCATAAATATTTGAATTTATTTTCAATCGAACATCTTGTAATGATGCAATTATTAATAGTCACCTAAATTTCGTACTTTCAGCCAGTATCACGAAAGACTCCTACATTAGACACTACAGTCCAGCTTGGTATGACACAAGCCTCCACCTCCTCCTCCTCCTCCTCCTCTTCCACCTCCTCTTTCTTGCCAATCCATTATTCTGTTGCAACTTATTCCAAAATTTATCATCACATTTTCATAAATATTTGAATTTATTTTCAATCGAACATCTTGTAATGATGCAATTATTAATAGTTACCTAAATTTCGTATTTTCAGCCAGTATCACGAGAGACTCCTACATTAGACACTACAGTCCAGCTTGGTACGACACAGCGGCACTGAGGGAACATCGAGCAAGAAGTCGTCGAGATACTTCAACTTCTAGTCGTCCGAAGGACTCTACGTTGAACCTACGTCTTCGTGCTCTTGACAGGTTCGTAAAACGTGTGTCCTCTCTGTGTTTTTCCGCACTCGTCTTTTCTATGCACATATACGTGTGTGTGTGTGTGTATGTACATGTATTGGTCAAATGAACGGTACGTCGTGATTCGACGTTCCTCGCACGTTTCGCGCGTCTTTCAAAAGTCTACCGTAAGATTTTTCGTCTCCCTTTAGGAGAAAACGTGACGATGCTCATCCAACCAAATTTCATGACATCAAAGCTGAATTTTTCTTTTCATACGACTTTTCCAATGGTATCCTTGTCAGCAAATTGAACCTTTCACTTGAAATAGAAAACAAAGAAATTAATATATATTCGACATAAATGTTAAAGTCGAAAAGAAAAGATAAATGATACGTGGTATATAACTTAACAGAACGAGATCAATTATGTGGCAATCAATTAAAATGACAGATATATGATTTAACAGTGATCGTAACGTTTATATAATAAATTGCTAAAATCTAACAAGAGTTATCATTTGAACTGTCAAACAACGAGTTGCCTATTACCAAAAATGGAATCGACAATATTTGGGAAATAGTTAAAAAATTTGTCAACGATTTATCAAACGAAAGATCGAATCTATATATGACTGACAGAATGCATAGCTTGTAGCGAATAATAACAGAGAAAGAGAGAGAGAGATAGAGAAAGAGAATGCGTTAAATATTGGTAACTGTAACGAAATCCGATGGACAATCGCAAGCATGAAAGTGTTCATCATGAACGAATAGCCTGGAGGTGTAACGAGTAACCGCGATATGAACGTTAATCCGTGCTAACACAGCCGTTTTGATCAACGTTTGACAAGGCATCGATAAGCTTCCGTCCTCTCGATCTGTCGCTATTGCTATCATCCCGACGGCCTTGCGAGACGAGCTGATTCGAACGCATCACATTGGGGAGAGTAGCGCGCAATATGTCGATAGAACTGCGTTTATGTTGTGTTGTGCCATTGACACGAAACCTATAAATCTCTACGTTACATTCGCGGAAATTGCATACACGTCACTTACGGACCAATGCTCCATGTCAGCGCCACGTATTCTGCTTCAGAGATTCACACATATGTTCACATTTTTGTCTCTATCTCCTAATTTAAGATAATTATTAATCACGTAATAGACAAAAATTATATATGTTTATACGTTCATAACTTTATAATGATTGTTGTTATCATTTCGTTTCTTTAACTACGACTCCAATTATAAAGAGACAAATTCTATGATAATACTTAGAATTAGTATAAGAAAAATCTTGTATAACACATCTAAAAGATAATCATCATAAATATCACTGTTTCGGTAAAAGAAGCATGAATGAAGGCACGAACAATGTTTTCTCCAGCAGCTATTCGTTTGCGGTCTTGAAGTTCTCCGTGTTGTTGGAATMCCTGCCACTACTTTCTTCATGGACAAGTTCCATAAGCATTACATCCGGGTTAACTTCCATGGCGTTCAACACTTCTTTCCCTAGAACATTACGGAAGTAACGTGAATTGTCTGGCGGTAGCAGGACTTTCAAACTGCTTCACTTCTTGACTCGGAAAAAGGCAACTAACAGCATTGCTCTTGTTCTTATTATTGAAGTTGAAATCTCGAAGTTTTTTCTACATCTACCAGGGATCTTTATTGTCCTTGACTAAACTTATAATTCAAATAATATCATTTATATTTAATCCTCTCGATATAAAATTTTTCTTTAAAATTGCATTATCTTTTACTTGAAATCAATAAATTCAAGTCATAACTATTATTATTTGTTATAGATGAATTATTTTGTTGACAATAAGAGTATTAAATATTTATCGATATCATTATTTATTATTATTTCTTTTCTTTAGGATTTCTATGCCGAAATAAATAGACCCATTTCTTAGGCTTTTCTCGTATTCTAATTTTCTCAGGAAATCACGATCGATAGAAAAGGAATTTCGAGGACGACCCTCAAGGCGACATTTCTCTTTTGTACATCGACCTAAGCAATCTGAATTCAGGAGGAAAGACGTCAACCTTCGAAGCCCTTTTTGCGTGAACGTGTGCGTGTGTGTACAAGTACAGTGCGAGATGTATAAATGAGGTCGAGCGAAGTCATCGAAGTCGAAATACGGTACCTTAGGGATAGAAAATAAAAGAAAAGAAAGAAAGAAAGAAAGAAGAAAAAAGATAAAGAAAACAAGAGAAAGAGAGAGAGAGAGAGAAAAGAGTTCTTTTCGAGTAGTAAATTATCATTGAAATACGAGAGGTGCCTTGGTGGGACACGTATTTTAAGTGGGAAAAGGGAAGAAAAATGTCGACCTTCGGCAGGAAAAAAAGCGTATAGCGTATGTATTGTGAGTGTCCTTCTTGTATCGATCCTTCAAAATGAATTGGTCTCACTCTTTCAAACGAATTACCACCGCGTATGTTAAGTTCGTTCGCGCGAATGTCAATCACGCCGCGTGACTCCCCATTCGAAAAGGGATGAGAGAGGGTACCTGACTCGGAAGGTAATTAATCGTGAAGCTTGCCACGAATTCGCTTCGATTGCGCTACCTCTCTTTCTCTCTCTCTCTCTCTCTCTCGTTTGCTCATTTTTTCTTTTTTTTTATTCCCTTTCATCGTCGCTCACTTTTCTATATTTTTTCTTTTAATAGATAAGCGTTATTAAAAAAAACCACAATGAATTTTTCATCCCCCTATTTTTTTGACAATCGAAAGATTTCTCTCTCCGATCCGTTCTCTGTTATTTATATTTATAGTTATAGAATTTTTTTCTTTTTTATAATATAACCAAATTTGGCTCGCGTCCACGTCGCGGTGCGACGAATTAAAACAGAATGTTATTTATTTTAATAACATTTCTGTTTTTAAAAAATACAACGACGCGAGGCGAGGCTAGGCGGGAACTACGAGTGATGATATTTTTTCAGTCTCGCCCTTTTTTTCTTTCATCTATCCCTTCTACTCTTTCTCTCTATCTCTCTCTAGCAAAATATTCGCACGAAATTGGCAACGTTCGAGACGTCGATGAACGGCTTTCGATTTGGTTGATATAAAAGACTAGATTCTAATACCTCGGGCCACTTCTCGTTATCGTTATTGCCGATAATGCGATTTAATTGGATCGCGCGCTAATGAGTTCCTTCCGATAATAATCGCTTGTTTTCTATCTCTCTTTCTCTTTCTATCCATCTACCTATCCTAGTTTCATTACTTTTTCTCATCGTAGACTTTCAAAGCAAACGATTCGCGATTATTACATCGAATTCTTCAATAACCATTTACGGATAGGAATTAATCCGAAAAATATATCCACGATAAATCCGAAGTAATTAGACGAGAGATTATTCTAGTCATTCAAGAACGGCCTAAGCGATTATCACGACGACTTAATGGGACGAGATATTTCAGAAGAGAGAGATTAATTTTTATTTCTCATTTTATTTTTATCCATTTATCTATCTATCTATCTATCTATCTATCTATCTCTCTGATCAATGAGAGACACGTCTACCATAGTGATCTATTGTTGGACCCTGGAGAGGCCTTGAAAATCAATTCAATTCGATTACGAAACCAAGGAGAAGAGCATGTGTCTGTGTGTATGTGTGTGCGTGCCTGTGTGTGTGTGTATATATTTGTACGTACAACGTATGCTTTGTATAAAATATAATTCACGAATATATTAGTATAAAATAAATTGAAAAAATTGATTGATAAAGAAAAGCTTTGTTAATTGTGCAAACAAACGATTTATTTTTTAAAAATTATGATCGATTAAAAGTACGATGGCAATTTGTTAAAGAACACGTCTAGATTCGTGTAGACTTTAGTTACCTCTTTCCTGACTGTATTACAAACCCTAAACGATGTTGTCGCGACCGTAAAGCATTACTCCTGCGGCTAATCTCATTTCACGACACCACGTTTTAACGTTCAAGTCCACTAATCGTATTCGCGAACATTAAAAAAGAAAGAAAGGAGACAGAAATAGGCCAATAAAAAGTGGGTGACGCACGAGAAATTCATTTCTCAAATTCACGCGAGAAAATCGATGAGATATATCAACGAAATCCCTTCGAAGATTTAAATCAGCGCCTTGAGGCTCGCTGGAAACGATCCAGGGGTGTGTGGGGGGGCAGTAATACTCTTGTCACTGAATCTTTCCGCTTTTTTCTTTTTCTTTTTTTTTGTTTTTTTTTTTTAACGAAAGAAAGTACATTTTCAGAAGGGAAATAGTCACGTACGTCTATAAAATCATATATCCAATGAATCGAATTTGTTTTTTCCTTAATTTAATATTTTTTTAACAAATGTGGCATGCAACTAGATTGCAATAAGATTCATGGAAAATAGAATTTAATCTATATAATTGTAAACAAAATTCTCAATAATTAATGGTTGATATTTCTTCATTAGAAATTGCATAAATTTCTTTATAGATACGAAAAAACTTTGCGCATATCGCTGTAAAAGGGTTAAAAGGTTTGATAAGACAAATAAGTTTGGGAACCTCTGATGTAAACTAACAAAAAGCAAAAAACAGGGAACAGAGAGAGAGAGAGAGAGAGAAAAAAGAGGGAACGTGAATAGTTTTATATAAAAAATAAAAAAAAAAAAGAGAATCCTATGTGGAGAAAAAATGACACTTTTTTTTTTCAAGCCGCTACTCGGATCCATTCATTTTCATTAAACCAATACTACGTTGGGTGTGAACAAAAAACAGCAAAGCAAAAAAAAAAGAAAAATAGAAAGGGGGTGGGTGGGGGTTGGGGTGGTGGATAATAAAAGAAAAAAGGAACGACACACAACCGATGTGTTTCAATCGTCGATGATGATTGTTCTCGATGACAAAATGTACGTACGTACGTATTCGTACATACTCTCTCTCTCTCTCTCTCTCTCTCTCTCTCTCTCTCTCTCTCTCTCTCTCTTGTAGATTTTCATCTCTCTTGTTCCATCGTTAGTTCGATTACACGCACGCACGCACGCACGCACGTACGCGCACTCATGCAAGTTCGCAACACGCACTCACGCACTCACGCACGCACGCTTTCGAATTTGTCTCGATGCTCTCGTCGAACGGGAATTGGATTTATGTGAACGAACACCGGAACGAGACGAGTGCGAATTTTTGTCGACGTTCACCGACAGACGAGAGATTCGATGTTCTTTTTCGACGAGACAGAAAGAGAGATGGGGGGGTGGAAGGGAAAAAAATATAATAGGGAGGGGTAAAAAGGATAAGGGATGGAACGGGAAAAGTGAAATTCGTCGTTCATTCATTCATTCGTTCGTTCGTTCGTTCATTTTATAGACATCGTTCGAGTGAACAAATTTATCGAGTCGGCATGATCGACTTTAACGAAATGAAAAGAAAAGAAAAAGAAAAGGCAAAGAGAGACAGAAAGAGAATAAGAACGTAAAGCCTTTAAATTCCCTCGTGGGGAGACTTAACGAAAGAAGAAGAAGGAATAAAATAAGAGGAAAAATAAGACTTAACACCTAACATGTCCAGACGCCACTTGTCCGATGAAGACGCAGTACCCCTAATAAAGAATCGTGTCGGCGTAACGAACAATTAGCGAAGAAGCAGACGGCTCTGAAGGGAGTTTCCTCGGCCACATTCGACGCTTCAACGTCGGAAGAAAATCGATATCCTCCTGAGAGAGGACTAACCAAGAAAAACGGACATTAACTCCCTTCCCTTTAGACTCCAATACTCCTACCAACCTTTACCTTACACTCACGCACCAACACACGAGTTTCTTTCTTTCTCTTTCCCTATCCCTTTTCTTCATCTCTCCTTTATTCGTCAAAATCCTTCTCTTGTAAGTATTCACTTTGGAACCCTTCGTAGCCATTAGAAATGACTACTTTCAATCCCCGAAAGTAACCCTTTCATTTTACGCGCAGACAGTAAAGTTCAGTTAACTAGAATGTTGAAATATTTCCAAAACCACTCTTTTTTTATCCTTCAAATATAACAAACTAAATATATCCGAAATGACTCTAGCTTTATAAATGTATAATCAAATTCTTTTTATAAACTTTCCCCCTTTAAAACGTCTAGTTGTTTTTGGATAAAACCTAGACTTGTCACGATTTAACTAAATTGTACAGTTTGACACGCGGGCATATGTATAAATAAAATAATGGTATAAACAGAAGAGGGAAAGAGAGAAAAACATATTGGAATCAAGTCTCGCATCTCACATTTCTTTCGGTCGACGTTGACGTTAACAAGGCGTAGAAAAAATTGATATGAAGTAGCGTTGTCCGATACAAAAGGGAGATTAAAGTGAGATTAAATCGAATATGAGAGCAAGAGAGGATACTGAAAGAGCTTTCTCTTCTCGGTACTTGTTCCGTCTATCCAACTCAAACAAGATAACTCTACATTGTTATCCCCCTGGATTAAATATTTATTCGTTCGTCAAGCGTAATTACAAAGTATTGGGGAAAGAAAGATGGCTTATGAATAAAGGGAGTAACAAAAAATCTCTAGTGTAACGAAATTTAAATAATTTTCTACGATTAATGAGTATTTTCTTTCTATCTGAGAGACAATCGTGCAGATAAATATCAGCTTAATGTGATATCGAATGAGATAAAAAAAAAAAAACAAATATAAATCTAAATGTAACAATGATGATGATGATAATAATAGTAATAATAATAATCATAATAATAAACCCCTTACACATAGGCCTAGAGTATAATAATAATAATAAAAATGCTACAATAGAACAAACCCCAAATAATACTCCACTTGGCTTAGGGTTGTTGCGAGTATCGTTTTATCGGTTTTAATAAAACCGAGATCATCATTTTTTGTTCAGAAAAGTCAAATAATAACGATAATAGAAGATAGCGATGATTGGAACTTCTAGGATATTCAGAAAAGTATTAAACACTGAACAATGGTATCTCTCTCATAAACCATAATAGATCTACGTGCTTGCATACTTGGTAGAATCGGTTAAATACTTACTAATATTCTTGTGGGAATGTACCAGACTGGAAATCTACCGAATCAAAGATCTTGCGGAACCCGGATGATAATGATAATAAATGTAATAATAATAATAAAATAATAATAATAATAATAATAATAATATTAATAATATAATATTAATAATAATAGCAATGCGAAACCCGCGAATCCATCATCGAGCTCGTAATTACATAGCGATTCTGCGGTAATTAATTGCGAGTAGTAGTGTCATGGCTGCGGGCGACTTCGACATCGCCTACGGGAAAGTCCGTGTACTTCCTAATTAACGAGACGATATTTTCTGTGGATGTACGTAGCTATATTTTTGGTATACATACAACGACGACAGTTTCAGTTTCTCAAAATTTAATATGAAAATCATCTACGTGATTATTTCTCATTTTCGTTAGTTTGACTAATACAAATCCTTTCCGCTTGCAGATATTTGATATAGCAATTTAATACGGTATATATAATTTTAAGTAATTTAATATTTATTTATAAAGAGTAATCACACAAATAAAATTTCGAAAGGAATTCGATTAATTTTTGGTCGATCTTACAAACAAAAAAAGAAAACTATACCGATATTGATGCAATGAATTTAATTGCTGCTACACGTAATACATTGTCTTTATAAAAAGTTTAATATCCTCTTTTTATACGAGTCACTTTTCTACGAAACCTTCTCATACATAGCTGACATTTCCAAAGAGGTCATTTTTTACCGTCTCTCCATAGTCAACAATACAGGGTGTTTTTCTTCCCTCCCCGGAGGGAACACCCATCCACCACTACGAAACGTGCATATTGTTGCTTGAATTTAGTAATCAAACGAAAATTAGTTTCTCCAATTTTGAGTAGGCCGTTAATTAGTTTAATGATTGTTTAATTTTAATGAGATTTTAAAAAAATAATATGAGAAAATGTAGAAAAATATGTAGGGATTACGTAAAAATGTGAATAGTGTTTCTCGTTAAGATTGTAGAGAACGAGTAGTTTAGTCAGATATGAAATGCAGGAAACATAGAGATTCCGTGCTCGTACGATGAATGGAAACGAGAATGTGTATCTCGTGCGTGGCAGTAATTTGATGAGAAGGGAAGCCGCCGAACCAAAGCCAGCCCTTTCACCGACAATTAACCGAAAACATCGTTCATACGGCCTAGCCCGAGGTCATTACCGATAATTTCATTACGCGTCTACTAGTTTCGACATAGGCAACGCATAGAAGTACAGGTAGAGAGAAAGAGAAATAGTGAGAAAGATAGAGAAGGACAAACAGTCAATAATTGATTCAACATCGTCCCAGTCATCTTTACTAATTCCCGAATATAATGAAAATTATAATGATAATAATGACTAGAATTTTGCAATAAGGCATGCATTTGCCTTTAATAAAAAGCTTTTCTCCATCTCTTCTCTTTAATTTTGTCTCTATCTTTCTCGGTTTTTTTTTCTGTCAAGTTAACGACAGAAAAAAGTACAATGAATTTTCCGTTCCTGAAGATGGAAAAATCTTTAATGAGGGAATATTTAATTAGCTAGTAAATGTTGGACGAAATATAATATGTAATACGCTTGGTTGAATATTTATTTAAAATAAGTTGTCATCGTTGGATGAAAAAATAATGCTTAACAGTGTGTTCCCTTTCACAAATAGATGTATATCTTCTTCTATATGTATATACGTATATATCTGTGGGTATTTCGAGTGAACGATATCGCATTAATTATGTTGCTAGCATAGTGATACGCTCGTGCGGCTGCCCGCACGGTTCATAGATAGTCGGATTACAGGGTCGCCAATATTGATTAATTGACTATCTCTTCGTCTTCGTACTTCCTTTATGTTACCTATGAGTTATCTATCTTCCTATACTATGACCCACCCGCTTTTCTTTCTTGATCTAATAACATGTCTTACAAATGATTACTTAATAATGTTTATTATCAATTAACGCGGAAGATTACAAAATTGTAATTCCAGTAAAATATATAGGCAAATCAATAACGCGTGTCGTTTGCTGATTTTCATTCGTCAAAAATTATTAAATATAATATTAGATAAAGTGCACTCTGTGTGTGTAAAATTTCTACCAAAATGAAAATAAAATTCTAAAATAGAAAAAATATTATGTTATAAGAAAAATAAGCGCTCCATCATAACTGTTTTTCGGTCCGAATATATTTCTTATGTTTATTTTTATTTCAGAGAGTTTAAGATGAGACTCGTAAGAGACACCAGCCTCTTCCACGAAGATACAATTTTCGAAGGATCGAACGACCGAAATATTGCCTTCGATCCTTCCCACGTATACAGCGGCACGTTGGAGGGTAAGTGAACGTAAATATATATATACGTATATTCATGCATAGACACACACGCACAACAATATTCTTGATCCTACTCAATAACCTTTGTTTAACAATTTTACGATGCGGATTCAATAGTTTATGGGAAAGCGTTATAATAATTCCACGCGATTACGATCGATAAAGTTTCCCATCGTATAGGAAAAAGAAAGAGAGAGAGAGAGAGAGAGAGAGAGAGAAAGAGAAAGAGAAACAGCGCAATGAAGAAAAGTTCATCGATTATCTGTAGGATACACAATGCACGTTGGTATCGAATTTTCATAAGGTACTCGTTTATAGGCTCATTAAAATCCTACGCTCCAGAGAAGATACACGCTCGGATAAAATTCAAAATTTCTATTGCGAGCCGCCGGTGTTTCGTTTCTCTGAATAATGAAATAGAAATAGAAAAAAAAAAAAAGAAAAAACCCCAAGCAAAAAGCAAAAAAAAAAGAGAAAACAAAAAGGAATAGAAAAGGGCTAGAGTAAAAAATTCAAATGCAAACAAATCGATTTCACGTGGGATCAGAGGAACGCGAAGAGAACGAAAGGCAAGTGAAGTGAAAGAGTTTGCCGATATTAAGTCACGGGTTAACCGTTCACCACCCAACCCCCCCTGCCCCCCTCCCCATCATCCCCCGTTGGTAAACGCGCATGCTCGCGTACATTAAACCGCAAAGGCACAAAGAACGTCTCTCCATCTCCTAACGGAAATACGATCAAAGGAAAACCCTTAGGTTTTCTTGCCCTTTTTACCACTCCCTATAGCACTAGATAGGTAAACTCGACCTTTCCCCGTTATACTTTCCTTCGATTCCTTGTTTCTTCGTTTCTCAAGATTTTTCTGACCTCCGAGTACACACCGTTCCCTTCTTTATATTTGTTACCATCGTCCCTTACTATTTCTCAGTATCGATACACGCTGGTGCTCGTACAGGGACCAACTGGGGGTTATTGGATGGTTTCCAATATGCCGGCGTTGCTATGCTCGACCACCACCGACGACCACTTTATGCCGGAGATCGCTATAACTCGTACATTTTTTACGGCACACTGAGTGGTATCGAGAGCCAAAAATGGTTGGACGAGGACGAGGACGGCGACGGCGACGACGACGACGGCGACAGTCGGCGAAAGGAAACCAACCACCACTAGTTTTTTTTTGTTGGCTATGGCCCTTCGATCCGAAACCAAACTTTATCTGTTCGATTTTGGCTCGGATCTGAGCTATATTACATGAAAACGAAACGAGATTAGTGGAATGGCAAATGACACAATCATAATGTGTTTCGACGAAACATTCATTTTCTTTTTTATTAATCGATAGAAAAGTCGTCGACGAAATTTCCGAACGAAGGAATAACGAAAAAGAGAGAGGAGATAAATTTTCAGTAATAAAAAAACCGATACGTGGTCAGATCGTCAGAAAATTATCGATACGCGCAAGAATTCTTTGAATTCGTCGTATTTTTGGTACGGCTTCATCACCCTTATGGAAAGACAAAACGATGAGTTGTTATTTTCTTTTTTTTCCCCCCATTTTTCCTCTGTTTGCTTTGCTTATTTTTACTTATTCAGAAATAACTATTCGGGTTCGTTCCGAAAACGAAAAATAATGAAAAGATAGATAGATAGAAAACTATGTGGTAGCGATTTCTTCAGTGGTACGAATCAATACTCGAACGAACACCGCGAAAAGAAATTGAAACGATAAATGTGAATTTTGCGGATGAAATATAATTAAATATTTTCTCGTCAATGTTTGTGATTATCTCGTGACCAGATTATCTCGGACACATTATAATTCAATCTTCTGTATAATTTATCATTTTCCCTTTGTCAAAATAATAAAGAAACATAAATTCAGTTCACGCGAATTCTTGGAAAAGAGATACCAGAAGTAGAAATTGTCAAGTAGTTATGTTCAATACGTGATCAGACCAGGGAATATACGTTCAGATACCAAAGTAGACGAAAACGTAAAGATATTTCGTAAAACCCATAGGGAACGATTTAGACTTTGCGTCCATTTCTTCCAGACAGTGTTGTACAAATCGAGAAAAAAACATTTCCAAAGTTGGCTTGTACTTTGTAAAACTCTTACGAGTAGTACGTGCTTACGTGCGTGCCTGCGTGCGTGGATCTCCACAATTGATTATGCGCAAAAGTCGACGGGAAAGTAGTTTTCTTCTTCTTCTTCTTCTTTACGTACCACGTATATAGAAAGAAAGAAAGAAAGGAAAAGAAGGAACATACGAGAATCGACATGAAATTCAATGAATCGAGTTTTGTGGCACGAGAAGTAAGTTTCGTCAGGGAACACGAAAAAGCTCGCAAAAATGTGACTCGATCGTGGATGGAAGAAAATAAGAAAAGGAATGAATTGGGTATGAAAGAGAGAGAGAGAGAGAGAGAGAGAATGAAGGATATGGAATGAGGATTAGAAAGGAAAGAAAAATCCAAAATCTCCCAGGAGTATAACACATTATCATAGGAAACATCGTGACAAGGTATAAAAAAAATAAAACGAACACGAATGTCCCGGTGGTACTCGCTTAATGTGACTTCCCTTCGTCCCCTTCACCCCTTAAAGTACCACCCTATTCACTTGCATGCTTGTTCTTTTTCTCTTGTTCTTCCGTATAGATACATCGGCGCGTTTTCAAAGAGGAAAATTGTCGGCAATGGGATGACAATCATTCTTTCCGAATACTTGTATATTCCTTTGAACTAGAACACGTCGAGACGCATTTAAATTTTCCTTTGATTTTTGTTGTCATCGGTATCGTTGGTTAAGCTATTCCACAAAGGTAACTACTACTACTATTACTACTACTATGATAGGAAGTAAAGAAAGACAAAAACAATATCGTACTGAAAACGTCGTTTTCATTTAGCCCATTCCAGTCTTCTTTACCTTTGTTCACGATCTAACGAAGACGACGATATCAGCTAAGATATTTTCTACGTCTTCTTCTTCTTCTTTTTCTTCTTCTTCTTCTTCTATTACTACTTGGAACGGTTTATCAGGATTTTAGCCTCGTTCCGAAACTGGATCATCGATATCTAGGAACGATATCGAAAGAGAATCGACCAAAGTATTATACTAGTCAATGTTCTTCTTTCTTCCTCTATCTCATCCTTCGACGACAAAGGGAAAACCATTTCGTTTCCATCTTTTAACAGAGGAATAATCGGAGTGCTATAAGAAGAAGGAGTAGGATAAGGAGGAAGAAGAAGAAGAAGAAGAGAGTAGTACTATACGAAAACGATAGTAGGTAGCTACATAAAACGAGCGTATCTCAAACGAACCACGAATTTTCTTCCTTTGGCCAAATCGTGGATCGGAACGATAAACTCCAAAGTAACGAGACCTAGACGATATTTTGTTTTTTTCTCTTTTTTTTACTCGCGAATAAGTACACGAATCAGTAACTCTCTCTCTCTTTCTCTCTCGTTCTCTCTTTCCCTCTTTGAAGTTAGATCCAAACAGCTACTTTGCAATCACCTTTCGTCCTCGAAGCTCACCGGAGCCCAATTTTAATCATCTAAAAGATGTGGAAGGAAGGAAGGAAGGAAGAAAAGAAGGGACGGACTGGAACGTCACTTACGAGGAATTGCAATTTTCTCTAAAGATCCCTGACGCGAAAAATGGGGGGGAAGAGAGAGAGAGAGAGAGAGAGAAAGAAGGGAGCTCTTGAAAGAGGGAGAGAAAAAAGACAGACAGACAGACAGATAGACAGACAGACGAAACGGTTTCTCGACTCGCAGCAAGTCAAGACTGACGGCCGAGATTTTCGCGCCGGGTCGTTTGTCGAAACCAATTTCCATCCCCCATGTTTTTTTTTGTTCCCCTCTCATCTATTTTCCCATGCGTAAACTTTATACAAATAATCGAACAATACTATATTTTTTTTTTAACAACGACGAAAGAAAGTAACACAATGTTACTGTTAATAAAATAGAAAGGGTTTACTGCGAACCTTCCTATTTTTTTTTTGTTTTGTTTTGTTTTTATATTAGGTTCGAATAACGTAGAAACGAAGGGAGAGAGGAGTAAATGTGAGCGCGTGTAAAATCTCACGAATAAATCCGTCGGTATCGCTTTCCACGGGACACCTTGTTACAAACGCTCTGACCTAATTACTTCGCTCTCCTGTCTCCATTTCCCTTCACCTCTCTCCCCCCTCCCCCCCCCCTCCTTGATACCATATAGTATATACTATCTCATTTCACGTTAAAAGAGGCAAAGAGAATGGCATAGCACGAATTTTGCTCGCGGATCGACTGCTCGAGCTGATGGCATATAAAGTACAATAGGTGAGAAACGAACGAACGAACGAACGAACGTAGTAGACGGAGAGACATTTCGCGAGATTTCATATTTCGACACGGTATATTTCGTACGAAAAGTTAAATCGTCGGAGCACGTTGTAGTAGTTACGAAATATTGTTTATTTCTTGTTTTAATATTTCTTTTTCTTTTTTACTCTTTAATGTTTTTTTAGATTTTCGTTAAAGAACGACGCGTAAGAGGGCAGAACACAACGAGTTTCCTTTTCGTTTCTTTTTTTTCTTTTCTTTTTTTTTTTCAGACGCGACAATTTTAATGGAAAATACTCGAGATAAGAATATGGTGATTTTCCTTTTCTTTTTTATTTTTCTTGTTTTTCCCGTCCCCGTTTAAAAAGTTCGCTACAAAATTCTTTGCGATCGATAGTCCGATTATATCCGCGTTCGATTACGATCAATTGTAAAAATCACATTTTAAAAGCTAACGAAAAAAAAAAAAAAGAAAAGAATTGTCAATTGAACCCAAATTTAAACGTTTCCCCATCGTGTTTTGATACGCACTCGAAATTCGTTCCGTCCTTTTTCCAATATGAATTTTACAATATATTGTATACTAAAACGCGTACGCGTTGGCCTTTTTACGGAACGCAACAAATATAAAATATCTCCTCCTCTGGAGTATTAAAAGT